TCCTTAACAGACAACTCATCAGACCGTTTGGAAAGTAGTCTGTTATCTTTGGGAGTGAGAAGGTTCCTGGCCACTACCGCAGCGGTCATATCATTCTTCATCACGGAATCCCCAACGGTAAGAGGACCAGTAGGGGAGACGAAGGATGGGCGCCATATGTTGTTTGGAAAAGGCGGGGCTGCCTCTTCAACAAGGTTCAAGTCAAAACGACGGTCGGAGGGGCCAGACATTTTCAAAGGTGTTGAAGAGAGAAGAGGTCGGACAAATCAAGATCTTAGAAGTGCAAGAATGGAGCTTCTACTGGGGGATATTCAAGTGTGTTTTGGAACTTAATGTCAGCCCCTATAAAAATCTGCACTCGACGAAGCTTCAGAAATCGAAGAGGCGCCTGCTCATAAATCGAAGAGGCGTTTGCTTTCTCAAAAGCTGGGCTGCTCAGAGATTCTCAAAAGCTGGGCTGCTCAAAGACCACAAAGGCCGATCTCAGAAATCGAAGAGGCTTGCTTTCTCAAAAGCTGGGCTGCTCAGAGACCACGAGGGCCGATTTCAGAAATCGAAGAGGCACCTACTTTTCCAGCCTTGTTAGCACCTGTCACACGCACACTCAGCTTTGCGGAAATTATGGGCATTCTGTCGAAGATTTCTGGCGAAGTAGAAAGCACATGAATCGTACTGTTCAATCACCCACTTCCCACACGCAACAGTAGCTCATGGGTACCACAGATAACTTTTCCAAAGTTCTCTGACAAAGTTGAGACACGTGAAGCTTGCAGCTCCCACTACACCGCTCTGACCAAGAAGGGTAAAAGAATTGCAAAGAAACAACACTAACAAAGTTTAGACACATAAATTTTGAAGGTCTAGCTACCATATTATTACCCACAAGGGTAAAGGAACAGTACCACTGCTGGATAATTGGAAAGTCTCAGTGTGTCAACCTCTGTGCTTCGTGGCAAGGTAGACTAGCAAACATGCCCAACCTTTACTCACATTCGAGAAAACACTCCTAACAAGATTGCTTGCTCCAAAATCGAAGAGGCACCGCCCTCCGAATCTCGAGAGCCAGACTCCCAACATGATTACTTTCTCAAAAATCGAAGAGAAGGTAAAGGAACAGTACCACTGCTGGATAATTGGAAAGTCCCTGTGTGTCAACCTTTGTGCTTCATGGCAAGGTAGACTAGCAAACATGCCCAACCTTTACTCTCATTCGAGAAAACACTCCCAACAAGATTGCTTGCTCCAAAATCGAAGAGGCACCGTCCTCCGAATCTCGAGAGCCAGACTCCCAACATGATTACTTTCTCAAAAATCGAAGAGACACCGCTCTCCGAATCTCTAGAGCCAGACCCCCAGCAGGATTGTTTTCTCAAAAATCGAAGAGGCATCGTTCTCCGAATCTCGAGAGCCAGACCCCCGACAGGTCTGTAATCTTCACACGCAACATCAGCTTTCCAGATACCACAAACCACTTTTTCAAAGTGCTCTGACAGAGTTAAAACATGTGAAGCTGGCAGCTCCCACTACCGTGCTATAACCAAGCAGGGTAAAGGAATAGCATTATTACTTGATGTTAGGGAGACTCCTATATATGTCGACTTCCATCCCTAACGGACAGGCAGACCTGCAAAAATGCTCAACCCTTTCTCTTATCTGAGAGGGCACTCCCAACAAAGCCTTTCGAAATATTCAGCTTTTTTTCCCCCCGATAATACCTCTGTAAACAAGCTATACTAGAGCAAGAATATCTCATATCATCAGGGTTAAAAGCAAGAGTATCCCATATCATGCTTTTTCCCTGTCTTTTCCTTTGGCCTTGTTCTTACCTGCAAGACAAGGAGAAAGAGAGCAATCAGTCAGCACTTGGAATCAAGCTTTCAGCCAGGAACTGACTGCCTGGAACCCCTTACCTGATTACTTACCTGGCATTGCTCTCGAGTACTCATCTTCAACATCTTATGCTTCCAGGGAAGATACCACATTTGCCTGAGGAACAGATAGGGCAAGTGAGAAGGATACAAGGAAGCATGTGGAGACAAGCGTAACAGCACACGTGCCGATACATCCACTACTCTATCAAAAGCAAAAGTATCTCATATCAGCAGGGTCGAACGTACTCTAGATTTGATGGACTTGTTTTGACCCTCAAATTCTTCAGTCGGCCTTATACTCTGGAGGAAACCAGAAAACCCTCCAGCCCAGTTCAAGAATAAGCCTGTGGAAAGTTACTTCTTCAAAAGCAAAAGTATCCCATATCATCTCTCCTCATTTTTTCTTCTCTTTATCCTTCATGCTGCCTGCAAGATAGGGAGAATGTGAACAATCAGCCGGAGCTCTGATTGCTTACCTTGTCTGTCACCTCTTTCAGCAGATCCCCCAGCTCGGCGACTTGGGGGACTCCTACTACATGGTTTGTATCTCGCTTGACCAAGCATGAAACTACAAGTAAGCTTCAAGTGAAATTGATACATTACCTTGTGCATCTCCACCAGTTACAGATACCACCACTGGATGGAGGAAGAGTACTTCCAGAGAAGATGCCACATCTACCTATGAGACAGATAAGGCAAGTCAAGACGATACCACACTCCGGTACTTAGAAGTTTCGTGGCTACGAGATCATTCTCCCACAATTTTTCCTAATGTCATTTGTATTAAATCATTCACTTGTACTCACTAAAGGAGAGCTTGAACCTATGTACTTGTGTAAACCCTTCACAATTAATGAGAACTCCTCTATTCCGTGGACGTAGCCAATCTGGGTGAACCACGTACATCTTGTGTTTGCTTTCCTATCTCTATCAATTTATATACTTATCCACATTAATGACCGGAGCAATCTAGCGAAGATCACAAAAAGTGACCGTTTTCGCTACCTAGGATCTATCTTGCAAGAGAACGGAGAATTAGATGGAGATCTCAACCATATAATACAAGCTGGATGGATGAAGTGTAAGAATGCATCCGGCGTGTTGTGTGACCGTCGTAGGCCACTGAAGCTCAAGGGAAAATTTTATAGGACGGCAATAAGGCCAGCGATGTTGTATGGCACAGAATGTTGGGCGGTGAAGCATCAACGTACACAAAATGGGTGTAGCGGAGATGAGGATGCTTCGTGAGATGTATGGGCACACGAGAAAGGATAAGATTGGGAATTAGGATATCCGAGGTAAAGTAGGAGTAGCCAAAATTGAAGAAAATATGAGAGAAAATCGGTCCCGGTGGTTTGGACATGTGCAAAGAAGGCCTACTGACGCTCCGGTTCGAAAATGTGACTACGGGACAGAGGTTCGGGGCCGAAGGAGTAGAGGAAGACCTAGGAAAACTTTGGAAGAGACCCTAAGAAAAGACTTGAGTACTTGGATCTAACGGAGGACATGACACAAATGAGCGCAATGGCGTTTTAGGATTCATATAGCCGACCCCACTTAGTGGGAAAAGGCTTTGTTGTTGTTGTTGTTGTATGGGTCTTATCTCAATTGAATCGATTAAATTGAAATCTGATGATCATCTAATATCGATTTTTAGATTGAGAAATATAGAGCATCAATCAGCAGTTGGAGAAGAGATAATTTAGTCAATTCATCTAATGAGGTTGCCGACGCATCTTCAATACCCGATGGGGCACCTCAGGTTGCACAATCTGGCACTACTACTGTTGAAGTCCAAGTTGTCCAAGCCCCTCCACAAGAGGGACTAAATGAAGGGTTAATATATCAGAACCCTAATGAGTCCTTAAAGAAGTCATCATCTGGAAAAGAAGCCACAGGGCTTATGTATATCTATGATTTATTAGAACGTGGCGAAGAATGTCCCACATGCCTGGAAGGTGATCATTAATTTAGCGAAATCTGTTTCCTTATGCCAGAATATTAGTGGATTATATGTGTTATTCTTTTATAAACTGACTTAAGGGTATAATTATCTTATGCTGAGGGTTCCTCTATTTCTTGTAATGACTGCAGAATACACGACTGAAAATCCAAAGATAACAGTGGAGTGTTCTCACCATTACCACCTTTCTTGTATTTTTGAATGGATGGAGAGAAGCCCAACCTGCCCAATTTGCAGCCGGGTAATATTCAATTTCTTCCTTGCCTTTTTTAACTTGTATATATGGATATAGCAAATATCACGTTTTCCGACAGGCACTTTCTGAATTAGGGTTACTCTTAAGTTAACGTGCAAATTGAGTTTAGACGCCAATTTGTTTTCTAGCTGATGAGGCAAAACTTGCATAACATTGGCACCGGCTGTACACAACTTTCTGCGAATATCACATGACTAAAGGCAAGGCTAGTACACAGCTGGTGTAATGGTAGAATCTCTTCGCCAATGACTGATGACGTGAAGTTCATCCTGAAAATTATTGGCCAAAACATACCTGAAATATTTTGGATTTTGTAACTTCTCCCAACTAAATTTAATCAAATCGGCAAACTTTGTGTTGCATCTGATCGTTGTTAATTAAATTGATTTTCTAGGTGATGTTATTTAGTGAAACGTCTTGAGACTCAACGCAAATTGTTTGGCATGCAATGGTCAGTGAAGAGATACCAAAACCAACAGAAAAGTAGAGCTTTTTCTGGTCACCAAATCGAAAAGTCTGGTCACCGTTGTGTGCTAGATTCTTGTATTTTGATATGCTCCTTGAACTAATTTCAATTATTCGATTCCTTTTTTGCAATTCTTTCTTCTTGAAAGAGTGAGGCTGCAAGTATTCTATAACTTTCCGGCTTAAAGTATTTGTCCAATTGAGCAGTGACTTATTCTATCAGTTACTGTGTCTCATTTATCTCTTTTTAATTTTTTTCGTTTCTTGTGCATAGTTACATTGTATCTTAATCAAGTACTAAGCTGTAAACCCTAATTGAAAAAGAAAATTCCTCCAAAGTCACCTCAGTTACAGATACCAAAATCCTAATTAATTTAATAATTAAACTAACATTATAGAGAAAAAATACAGTCAAATAGAGTTTAGCTCACACATTTACTCAATATTTTTCAGGTCTTTGGAAATATAAATAGAATTACAGGACAGTTTCAAAGTTCAGTTCCTCATTGCCATCGTCTGATAATCTTCCTTTCAATAACTTACATATGGTACCAAAATATGGATTGCTACAAAAGCAGTACGTTTAGGGTTGGTCCAAAATTTACCAAGAAACCAGAAATTTAATACAGAGATAGCACACATATATATAGTTTTGTTTTCTTTCCTTTTAATTCTTCCTTTCTTTTTCTACCCATTGATGATCAAGCAGCAAAGCATCCGAGATGGCATGAATAAAATGGTTCCAGTGTAAGGTCCAGCTGGTTCCTCCTCACTTGAAGGAATTCATCTTGCTGCGTCCCCCTGCATATCATATCGTATCAGACTATGCATTGCATATAAACAAGTTAATTAGGGTCGTTGATACCAAGTTAATTAACTTCTTAACTGATTCATCACTATTGTCAGTGTGGTCAAACAGATTTTCTATAAAACAATATTAACATGCTAAGAGCATCTCCTGATGTGTAGCACATATACATCTCTTATTGGCCAGAATGCTCTCCAATTATAATTTTGAGGGGATTTAAGTACGCATCTTGACCTGAAGATGAAAGTTTCATCTGCTTTTTTTTTTTTTTTTTTTCTGTAAGTGAAATTTACATCTTCACATTGGAGCAACAACTACATTTAGATTTCCCAAAATTATATGAAATGTAAATGTGATTTTTACATCTCAAAGCTGCATCTTTTCCATTGAAATTGCTCTAATAAAACAAGACAAATTAACAGGCCCTAGAATTAAGAATTTTATGTGGGAAGAATAATCACCCAATGTTAAGACATGGAAGGGGCTGTGGAAGCAGGTCAAGGTCATGGTTCTGCTGCTCCCAGTTTTGAACCTGGGGCTGAGCTGCAGCCTTCTCCTTCTCCTTTATCTATTTCCAAAATTTATATGAAAAACAGAAAACCGAAAAGAAGAATCATCACATAAAAAACCATCCAAGTTAAAGGCAAATATAAACCCTAGACTACAACCCTATTTGACTATGTGATAAAATAGTATAAGCATATTATTACCTTCTTTGCTAGCAAGTTATTTTGCTCCTGTATCGCCTTTTCCTGCACGACACAAAAAGATAAAAAACAATTAAATGAGCCACGTAAAATATATGCCACACAGTACCATTTCTCTTTCTCTCGCAGAGTCTAAACATATTCACAACGGAAAAAACATGCTATAGGTGCCCTAACCTTTCTCTGAAGCTCAGTGATGGATTCATGCATGAGTTGATTCTGAAAGAAGTTAAGAGAATACTTTAGCGTCATCAAACTCAAAATTAGTCTAGTGTAAGTACAAATGCACCATTAAGAGAAAGCGATCCTCGTTAGCAAGCATAATAAGTATTTACTTTTCTTAATCGAATTTGTTTATGAGCGGTGTCAAGCTGTTGCTCCAAACTTTGGATATCCTTGAGAGTCAAGGAATCCAGGTCTTCTCCCAAATAGTGCCTATGGTTTCTTTGCAAAACCTCAACTTTAGCCTTTAGTCTGGAATATTCAAAGGTCCAGTTACCCTGCGCATCAAGAAATTGTATGAGTAATTATAACTCAATCAAAATAAGGCGTACCAGTTAATTAGTATTAGGAATTTGATGGCATGGCAAACCTGCGACTCAAAATCTGGTTCAACTAGCTGTCTTTCTGCGTAAGAGTATCTTTCATAGCGTTCAAGGATTTGCTCCATACTGTAATATCCATGATCAGCAATATCAAGCATATGAAAAAGTAGCAATTAGCATCTAGCTAGAAGAATCAACTTGCTCCTCTATCAAAAACCCCATCTTAATGAATTGATTGATTAATAATATGATAGAAGTTCTGAAACACTTCCAAGGGAGTATATTCATATGATTACGAAAATTAGTCATGATCATCATCGCATGAAATAATGTTGATTATTATATAATGAATGCCAGGCAATACAAACTTTGGAGTTGCAACAGTCTTGCACTTTTTTATTCTTGTTTGCGGTTTACCGTCGAGCAAGCAAGTCACGTTTCACCTCTAAGAGGTTCCAGTACTACTACAGATCTGAATGTGTGTGTGTAAATATGATCAACTAGGAGACTGTTAATATATAGCTATATATTATATACATATGTTTACAAAGAGACTGTTACATATTGCACAAGTTAAGCTATTTTATGGTCTCCTAGCTTCAAATAATTGAGCTCCTGTTGAAGACTGTATTATTTAAATAAACATCTGAGATTTAATGCACCAGGATTCACGTTTTCTGGGCTTCCTTTCATTTCACTTCATATATTCTTTAGTTAAAAACACAATATTCAAACTGTATTATGTGCGTCGTCTGGGTATTATATATCATATATGGTAGTGGAATATTCTCCTGCGAGGATTCTACTTGCTGCTGCTTCCACTCCTTGTTTGATGTTTTTACTTTTGCTGACAAAAGAAATTGTTCTGCTTACTCATTACTAAGTTAACAAGGATTAGAATTAGTAATGATTATATCAAACCGCTCTCAGAATTAGTAATCAAGCCGGCAAGTTTAGTCTCATCACAATTGGTGGGTTCAATTTATTACGGAAAAATATAAAACAAGTACCGATCAACATGTTTCTTTTGTCAGAGGCAACCATTAATTAAGACCTTGAAACTCTAATTAATTTTGAGTTCTAAAATTTAAACACTCATTAAGTAATTTGGCCAACAAAAGAAAATGCACAAAAGAAGTACATCTAGCTTTTTTGGTCAATAGAAGTACATCTAGCTAATTTAATATTATTTCCTACTGCTTTCATCGATCGATCTTCTAATTACCTTGCAGAAACCCACATCTCAGTTAACCAGCATCAGATTATTACAAATTAACAACTCTAGTTACTTCATCTATAATAAATTATAGTTAACAGAGTACCACTTTAGGACAACTCAGGGTTAACCATTGACGAAAACATAAAATCACATGCTTATGGTACAACCTTAATAACAAATTTGTAGTGAAAGAAAACAAAACAAAAATATGCAAAAAAGAGGAAACAGCATCTCCAACAGCTTAATTAAATAAAGCTTTTTGGTTACTTTGAAAAAATATAGAAAAACCGAACTAAAACGGGCTAGCTATTTTAATTCGGTAAACAATAACTAGCAAGATTTAGAAGAAGAGATAAAGTTAATTTTTTGTTAAACATTAAAAACTATAAAATTGCATTGTTTGTGGGCTTCAAGAGAAGAAAAAGGGATTGGAGTCTAAAGTTTAGGAAAAAATAATAACAAAATATTTTAACTTTAGCTAAAGTAGCTAGTATTGTTGGGAGTGGTGGCTAACCAAATTAACATTTGTGTCATTTGGCTAGCTACAGTAACAAAAATTTCGGTAGTATTATTGGAGATGCTCTATCAAAGCAAGGTATATGAAATTTTTTAGCTAGGTTGAGCTCGATTTCTTAGGCGGCGTTTCTAAATCCATTTACTTTCTTACAAATACAAATTTCTAGGTTTCTCGAATAGAGAAGTTAGGTTTTTTCTTTGATAGAAATTTTAGCTAGGTTTCAGTAAATAAAATTTGAGATGAGGAGTTATAATTAATAAGAAAATAGTATACCATGAATCTGTGGCGTACTCAAGGAGCTTCCCCTTGTTGGAGAAGACAATCAAAGCAACCTGAGCATCACACAAGACAGAGATCTCATGAGCCTTCTTCAGCAGCCCAGTGCTTCTTTTGGAAAAAGTCACCTGCCTGTTGATCTTGTTCTCTATGCGCTTCAGCTGAACTCTACCTCTCCCCATGATTAAATATTTATGGACTCTGAGTTACCACTCACTCTTTCAACTGCTTGTTCTTTGATTTTCTTTCTCAAAAAAACCAAACAACCGAAACCCCCAGAAAAAGAAAGACAACCCAGAAAATGAACTGGTAGGCTGTCGATTTATATACAAAAAAGAAAGAAATATAGTTACGATTTAATGGGAATATTAATTTATGCAAAGTTTCTTCTTATAGCCAAATACGTGAAGGTGCCTGAGAAAGTATATGTGCTAATAACCAGCTCTACAGACTTTTGATTTGATGATAGATTAAGCGGTTTTTGTGAATACAAGTGGTTTTGGGAAAACCGGTGGGGTTTTAAAGGATTTGTTGTCGACTTCTGATTAGCCGAGGTGTACTATGTAGTCGTTTTCTCTCTTTCCAACGGGGCCAGGAAAAGACACCTCGATTTTATCTTTCTTACATACCGGTGTAGCTCACTAGGTACCGGCTTCCTGCCGGACTCAAGAGTCTCAGGTATGCATTGTACGAACCTTCAGCTTTACTGTTACTTTTTTTCTCGACTCGTAACCAGCTGACGTACGTATGCACAGTGCCACTTTTTGTGTAGTGAAAATGGACTAGGATTCTCCCCTGCTATTCGGTATCCCACATTCCAACAATGTGTTCATGATCAATTTGACAAGAAAGCAATATTTAGTTGTTTATCACTATCTCTTTGCGCTTTGTATTATTCAATTACTAGATGAAGGGCACATATTGTATGAAGCGTACACATTGCGGTTTTAGAGATGCGTTTTTTCAATTGATGAGGATAAGGACGTGTTAATTTGGAAAGCTTCTACATCTAGAGTCTTTTGTTTTTTGATGGCTATGAAATTGTTCGTCATTGATTTTCTGTTAAGAGTTGGGCTTCCATTGTTTAGTGTCATTTCATTACACCTCGCTACTCTATTTTAGTTTGAAAGATTCTTTCAAAAAGCTTCCAACGGAGGATCAACTTTAGCGATAGGGCATTCCGCTGGTTCTAATATACCAACTATGTTACAAAAATTCTAAATCTATTAAGCATTTATTTTTTAGTTGTGAATTTGCACAATGGGCTTGGTGTTGGCAAGCTACCCAATTTGGAGCTATTCTTCCGCTTACGGGTTCTTTCTTAGATTTCTCGCTTGCTTTTGTGTCAAAGCGATTTTCTCCACTACTTTGCAATGTCTGGCTAGCTTCATGGTTTTTCTTGCTAATGGCTATTTGGAAAATGCTTGATAAAGTGAAGTTTGAAAGTAAGCCTTATTCCTTCTCACGCCCTTGCCATTCATTTCGGTCTGGATTAGGCAGGTTGGAGTTTTCACCCTGGTCATGGACGAGGTATTTTGGGTAAGCAACTTTTAGTCTCTCTTGCAATCTCGGCTGAGTCTTGTAAAGCTCCATCTATAGTCCCTGTTCCTTGGCATCCTTCACCATTTTCTTGGTACTGATGACCTTGCTAAAGGTAACCTGGGTCATGTGGCTTTTGCTGGGCTTTTCCGAGATTCTGGGGGTTATTTTCTTGGTAGTTCTCCCTAAGCTTGGAGCATCGTACTTCTTTTTATGCAAAGCTTCATGGTGTCATCCTTACTGTGGAGTTGGCCCACGTATAGGGTTAGCAAAATTTATGGCTTGAAAGTGACTCTTCTAGTGTGAGATCTTGTTTTGCTTCTGGATCTTTCATTCCTCTTTGGTCGCTCCAGACACGTTGGAAAAATTGTATTTTCCAATTGCAGAACATGGTATTTTGTTGCTCTTACACATTTCGAGAATGGAATGCAGTTGCTGACAAATTAGCCAATTTAGAGCTTATCTTGTCTTCACTTGTTTGACATGCCGCTCCTTCTATAGATATTTTTTCTCTTCTGCACTCAGATTTTTTGGGCATGCTAGCCTACAAGTTCGTCTCCCCTTCTTGATGTGTGATTTTCTTTTTTACCTAATCTTTTTGGATTTTCCTTTTCATTTTGCAGCTTGTCTTGCAAATTCTTACCTTTTAGCTTTATAGAGGGGTTGGGCCTATGTCCACCCACTATTTTTCTTGTATTTTCTTTTTCAAGAGAGGTAAGGTCTATGTCCCCCTTCTTTTTCTTGTATTTTCTTATTCAAGAGAGGTAAGGTGTATGTCCCTCCCTTTTTTTCTTGTATTTTGTTTTTCTTGCTTTATGAGGGATAAGGTTTATATCTCCTGGACTAGATGTAACTTTTTTTTTTATGTCAATAAATTTCTCTTATGCCATCGAGGTTTTCCAAAAATAAATAAATAAATGTGTAAGTATAAATAATAGAAAATTTAATAGAAAAAAAGTAATTTTCACTTTACTATTATGAAGTTTTGAGGTTTTCAAAACTTTCAAACATTAAGTTTTTTTCATCGAGTATCATACCTAAGGTTATGTTTTTCTCCCAGATTCATATACTTTTGTTAGGTTGAAAGTTTGTAACTCCGCTAAAACGTAACGTAACTCTTACATGGACGATGACTGTGCATTCACGTGTCACTTTAGAAGGAACAAGTTCGATCCTATCCAAAAGCCCAAATCAATCAATTGATTCAAAACTCAAATCAACAACTAATTAATTGATTCAAATCTCAACCCAAACACCCAAATCAATCAATTTTACATCTTTGTCATTTCCTATGATAGCAATACTAGAGTGGAATTGACTTTGGAGTTTTACCGAATAAAAAAAAAACAATTTCAATTAAGTTTAAAGTTTATTTTTTTAGCAATCTCAAACAGATTTTAAGATGTGTTGTCTCTTTCTAACTGAGCATCACTTAGTTTTCAGCATTTATCATATCTTATTTTCTTACGTAATTCATCTAGCATGACTAGAACTTTATGTTTATGATCAAAACCATTCATATTTTGAATCACTCTATAAACTCATATCTGCAAAACATGAACTAAAAATAAGGTCGTTTAGTCAATGTATTATAGCACTCATAATGTTTTTACCAATTCCATTCATTTATCTTTATATAATTCAATGACTAAACGACCTTATTTTTAATTGATTTTTTTGTAAATGTGACTTTATTGAGTGATTTAGAGTATGAACGGTTTGGATCATAAATACGAAGTACTATAATCAACAACGAACAATTTCGAGTAAAACTAATACTCATATCTTTTGAATAGTCAAGTATTATTCCCCTATAAAATGAAAAGGGTCCGCCGTTTAAGGCCATGTCATATCCACCAACTATATGGATGGCTTTTACATCTTCGTCGTCCTCCACCTCAAATTCTGAAACCTACCACGCTCGCAGCTGTCTCCCCATCAAATTTTACACAACCTTTTACATCTCTTGGACACCCCAATAGTGTGAGCTATGCTCTTTCATTTCATCTTCTTCATCTTCGTCCGCACATAAGGTCATACCAATTTAGATTTTTTTATTACTTGGAAATAAGTTTTAAAAAGAAGATTTAGCCATGTACCGTGTCCATGATCTTATAGTAGTAGACAAGTTTGCATAATATATCATTAGCACATGTCCACACACAAAGTGTGTATGAATATTTTTATTTTGGTTTTTAAAATGGAATGAGAGAGTAAGAGACCTAGAGAGAACGTGGGAGTGAGGACAGAGGGGGTTTATTTTTATTTTTTATTTTTTAATATTAGAGATGTTAAAACCACATGTGGGTGATGTGTCATAAAAAAAATAACAAACTTTGTGTTCTTGTAATTACTAAATTGCCCATAATTTTTATTTCTGGTCAATTTTAATTAGAGGGTTAGACTGATAATTTCCCAGAATTTTAGTTGACAACTAGATTTTTATTAATATGTAGTTTGGATTGAATAAGCAAAGAAGTCATGGCACGTGGCAACGATTAGATGTAGTGCGTTTGCTCATTTGGTAATACAAAGGAATTTCCAAGGCACAACAATCTTGATGAATTAGGGTAAGTGTTCAACTGTGTGATCGGCCTCACAAAAATCACACACAAGCATTTCATACCTGATGAATTAGGGTAAAAGGAAAAGTGAAACGACAAAAGGAAATTTTTAGGGCACATGCTTTCCTGATGAATTCTAATGAATTAGGGCAAGTGTTTAATTGTGTGATCTGTCTCACGAACATCATACAAGCGTTTTATACTACTCACTGGTAAAGTTAAAATCCAAATGAAATATTTTAGGGCACAACAATCGTGATGAATTCTTGGGCATTAGTCTCATGAATGAATGAACCCTTCTATAACATTAAAAGATACTAGGCAGCAAATTATTAACGTTCTTATTCTTTTGGACAGTGAAACAACACATGTGGTCACCACTACTCTTTGATTGGTTACCATGCATGATTCGAAATTCAGAGCATCCAACCGGGGAAGAATCCCGTACCATTTTGTGCTGAGGACGTTGCTACATTCGCCTCATCATTTGTTACTACTGGAGTACTGTTGCAGTAATAGTTAATGGATACTTTAGATGACAGCTTCAAAAATTAAGGCAACTTAATTCATTAATTAACGTTGCAGAAAAATTCATGCGCTTGACAGAATCCCTATAAGATATATGGTTATACCCGATCTGCAATGCATTGTTGTATTGCAAATGCTCAGGGAATCCTTCTAATTGAGCAGCCTGGTGATTGCCATTCCATGATCGTTGATGGCCAGCAGTAATTTCTTCCAACTGCAAAACACGAAAATTTAGACCCAATTAAATTGACCAAATTATTTATCTGAAAAACGTATTAAATGGAATAACTAACAAGATTCAAGAATCCATGTGAAGAAACAATTAGATGACAATGTACGGTTGTTAAAAGGAAGGCCTCCATCGTTTGTTGTTAGCACTGGATTGAAATGAACAACTTACTATACTCAAGGCACGTTGAAGGAAGGAATGAAAAGATAGTGTCCAACTTAAAGATAGAATATGACTCGTGAAGAAAACTTTTATATTTCAATCCCCCGAATGGTAGGATTAGAAAAGATATATGTCATTCATATTTAATCCCCTTCTGAACCCCGGCCCTTAGAATAAAAAATCATTCATCTTTAACTACTTTCAATATCCCTTGAATTTTATGTTACCCAATTCATTTCAATCCT